TTTTTTTTTTTTTTTTTAAAGCAATTTGAGCTCTGTGAACAACTGCATGACTGGGCATTTTGATTTAAATGTAATGCTTGTACATACCATCAGTGATTGTAATGGAGACATTAGTAAAACACTTTCTTTTTCAGCATACAGATAAGACAAAGGTAATTCAGCAAGCAAATTATTTTTTTCAGACATTTGCAGATAAGTTAATTAAAATGTCTTCTGTTTGGATTCCTTCGGTACTCTAACTAAAGGACAGGAAACTGCAGACAACTGTTGTGTAAAAATGTCCCAGTTTTGTAATGAGAGTGCTAGCTGTAAATCCACCTAGTTCAAGCAGCTGCCATTACAGAGTAAAACACTATGGACACTTAACAAAACACATTCTGTTACAATATATTTGTGATACATACCCTTTCCAGAAAACATCTTCCAACCAGCTCAGGGTATTCGATGTAATTTTCCAGTTCTCTCACAAATATTCTACAAAAGATTTTAGGATACCATATGATAAGATAGCCTACATGAAAATAGTTACATTTTGTGTTCATGTACTTTGCATTCATTTTCTAGACTTTAGGAAACAATACACTTTATAAAAATGTAAATATAAAATATGCATATTTGTTATGTAAAAAGCAACATATTTTTGCTAAGCCATTTGCATCAACTTAAAATGCATTTTTCTGGTGGATGTATCACTATTACAAAATCTCAAAGAAATTAGGAAAAATAATACATCTTTAGGTTTATCTACATTTTGTACATTGGGCAATATTTTGTATGAAGCCATTTGCACTATATGGCCAATGCAGGCCTATTCTTTTGTTGTTTGTGTGGATCATTTGTCCAAAAAGAAAAAATGTTTAAAGAAATGTATTTTTAAAAGGATTTGTAAAACTACATAAGATGCAAGGTGGGCTCAAGGGCATTACATTCAAAATAATTTTTAATTTTTAAAAGTGAGTGACTTAAAAATTGATAATGGTCCTTTAAAAGTTTTGAGCCAAATCCTGCTGTCTAGTTAAATCCAAACAATGAATAAAACTGCTTATTGTGCGTAATATTTTGAAATTATACTTCTATTTTTCCTTTTAAAGTTTACACTTTTAAGCTCCAAATCTGGCTAGAAGCATCTGCCACACAGTTGGCACTAATTCAAACTTCTGGGAGAGGATAATTTACCTGAGTATAGTAAAAAAAAATCAGCAGGCTCTGACACAGAATATGACATATAAGAATACTAAAAGGTGGGATAAGATGGTTATAGCAGTTGATACAAATTCTGGTTTTCCTTCCCATTTGAAGTTAGGGAAAGATTTTAAAATGTAGGGAGATATCTAACTTCCTTTAAAGAAAAATCTTGCTCTTTTCTTCTTTCCTATTAGTAAGGCATTATAGTAGCTCCACTTTTGGGGCTGGACAGTCAATAAGGGATGTCCTGTGCACTTGGCTGTCCCTGACAACCTCTGGACACTGGCAACCGAGAGGCATGCAGGGATTCTTGCCAGTGCCTCTGTGGCTAAGTACAGACATTCAAAAACCCCAAGCCTGAATTGATTCAATCTTTGCAGGTTAGTCTAAACTGTGTAGATTGAACTTACAAGCAAGTGAATAAACAGTCACTTTTGATTCTGGAAATAAGCCACATGCCTCCAGTGGTAGGCTAGAAGCTGGTGGGCACTAGAGTGAGCCCTCCCTTCCCTTTGGCAGTGGCTGGAAGGGGAAGTGCAGCCAGGTCCCAGCAGGCTGAATATGATTGGGGAGGGGTTATAACCCCCACCCTGGCCTGCAGGAACTCCAGCCAGGGTATGCCTGGAGGGGGAAGCAGCCCTTGCCAGGCTTGTCCCCAAGCGGTGGGGGGCATGGCCAGCTGGCAGCCCAGGCAGTGCCTCAGGTTTATAAGGTGGGGAGAGACTGGGATTAAACACCCCTGCCTCCCTTTTCCCACTTTCATGGGACCCCAGCCAGGGTCTACCCAGCTTTTACTCCCTGCTTGTGGCTCAGCACAATCTGGGCCCCCCAGAGCCCCCCTCCCAGCCAGGGGGTGATCCCACTGTGCCTTCCCAGACACTGGGGCAGGGGTTTCATTTGGGGCAGCCTAGAAACAAAGGCCAAATCAGGGGGAGGGAGGGGAGCAAAACTGGCCTCAAGCCCAGGTGGGGACATGCACAGAGTAGAGCACCGAGAGATCGCGGCAGTGGTGGCAGCTCCATCCTGGATGTGAGCCCCATTGAGTACAGGGACCCAAGGCTGGGGGGCAGAGAAGGGGATCCTACCTGCCCTGCTTCGTGCTGATCATCTTGGTCTGGTGCTGGTGGAACTTGAGCCAGAGTGGTCAGTTACAGAGGAAGATCTGGGCACGGAGCCCCATGGCTGAGCCAGCCATGACAAGGGCACTCAGCCTGCTGCAGGCACTGGCTACCAGGGGGTCTGCCATGACTGCACTGGTAGGCACCACCTACACTGCCAAACTGCGGCCAGTTGGGAGGTGGACAGATGGTGGTGGCAGCAGGGAAGCCACTTGGGTACAGCAGAGAGCCATACGGATAGTGCCATGCGCTGAGCACCTGGTACACAGGGCCATGTTGTACCAGTGTTGGCCGAGTAGGGGAAGAGTGAGTGGGGTATGCCCAGCTCAGCACCCAGTGGCCCAGGGGATGGTAGATAGTAGCGCCTGAAGATGAGGCCATCCAGCAAGTACTGCGCAGTGGCAGCAGGCATGGCCAGCTCCTCCTCACTGCCCAGGAAGCCCTTGTGCCCATCTGCCTTAGAGCCTACAAAAGGAGCTTGGTGCTTGGTCTGGCTCAACCTCCAAGATTGAGCCACCTGGCTTCTTGGTGCTCTTGTCCAGGTGCTGCTGGGGTGAGCCCATGCCATAGGAGCCACTGTGGGGGCTAGGGGTCAACCCGGGCACTGCCCAGCTGCACACTTGGCTCAGCCGTGCTCTGCCCCAGGCTAGCGCAGACTCACTCAAGCCCCCTTCCTACCTCCTGCCCCCCCTCCAGCAGCCTGGGTCCCTCTGCTTGGCAGAGCTCACATCCAGGATGGAGCTGCAGCTGCCACAATCCCTCTGGGCTCTGCTCTGCATGGTACTTGCTGCATGGCTTCAGCCCTGAGAGCTACTACCTGCCATACCCCAAAGTGCTGAGCTAGGCACACCCTGCTCGCTCTTCCCCTACCTGGTGGTGGTGGCATCACACCATGGCCCCACGTACCAGGCACCCTGCAGCTCCATTCTGCCCCCAGGTGGCTTCCCTGCTGCTGCCTGCCTAGCAACCAGCCAGTTTTGTGGCATGGGCCAGCACAGGTGGCACCTACCCAGTGGCCAGCCTCTACAGGCCCGGCACCCTCAGTGTGGCTGGCTCTGTCATGGGGCTTTATGTCCAGGTCTTCCTCTGCAACCAGCTGCTCTGGTGGCTCGAGTTCCATTGGTATCAGACTGAAATGACCATCACCAAGCAAGGCAGGGATGAGACCCTTTTCCCCTGGGTCCCTCTGCACAGCAGGGCACACATCCAGGATGGAGCTGCTAACACTGCAATCCCTCTGTGCATGTTCCCACTTGGGTTTGGGGCCAGTTTTGCTCCCCTCACTCCCGCTGCCTGATCTGGCCTTTGCTTCTTGGCTACTCCAAGTGAAACCCGTGCCCCAGTGGATGGGAAGGTGCAGCAGGATTGCCCCCTGGCTGGGAGGGTGGTTCTGGGGGGCCCAGGCTGTTTTGAGCCACAAGCAGGGGAGAAAAGCTAGGCAGACCCCAGCTGGGGTCCCGTGCTGGTGGGAGAGGGGAGGTGGGGGGGTTTAATCCCCCTCTGCCTGAGCCTGCTGTTCCCTGTGCCCTCCACTCCAGCAGGAAAAATTCTGGCAGGAGCTGCTCTCCCCTTCACCAGATGGATGGGCTGTGTCTCCAGCTGGGTTTTCCACCCCCCTCCCCTTGTCAGCTAGCCCTCACTGCTCTGGCTAGAGAGCAGAAAGGTGGGGCCAACCCTTCTCTGCTTGAGCAGACTGCGCAGCCCAGCCCAGGGCTGCAAAGCATCTTGTGATGCTGGGGGACTGTGATTTAACTTGAGCCAGGAAGGGATCTGGGACACAAGTTCCATAAACCAGTTTGACCTAAATTAGGTAAGTCTGATACCATATTCAACTAGGTTCATCTCAAACTAGTTTCAGTCATTTTGAAACTGGTTTACATGTGCTGGACTTCTGGTTCTGTGCAACTTCTGCCCCTAGCCTGTATGTCTTCGCAGACATTTTGAAGTGCTGCATGGGAGAGGGTGGGGTTACACATGGAGCCCAAATTGGAACACACTGGGATTCAGAGTGATCCAAATGCAAGTCTGTCCATGGTATTAAAGTTTTTCATAAGCAGTTAAAACATTCAGCCTTGCCCACCAGCACACTGCTCTTTTTTTTTTTTTTTTTTAATTGAACATGACTTCCTAACCTGTTGTGAAAGTGATAAATTTCCTCCATGTTCCCAAACAAAATATCCTTCTTATTTTGGAGTCCTGGTGACATAAGATGCATCATTAAGGGGTTGTCCATCTCAGCAGCATACCCCTATGACACAAGAAAAAGGAAGATTAAGTAGCTTAATTTAGTTCCAACACCTGTCCCTTACTAAAAAGTCAACCTGTTAGCTGCTTATAAACAGCAAAGCAAGATTTCAAAATAAATGATAAAATAGTGAACCTTAAAAGCACCTCTTTTTACTACCACTTAAGTGAAACCTATACCCATTTAAAGAGAAAATTTGAAAAAATACTGAATGCTGTAGAAAAATAAACAAGCAGCAGTTTATAGAATCACAATACCCAGGCTAATGTTAATTTAACTCCTGCCTTATTCAGTTCAGAGAATTTGTGATTTAAAAATGTTTGTACATTTAAGCTCTTAGCTTCAAAGCTAAAATTGCAGGTTATACTCTGAAAGGTAAGGTATAGTACCAATTTGACTCTAAACACTAACCTACAGCTATATACTACTGCAGGCAATAAAAGTCATGCTGAAGAGCCCATTTTCAGCATGTAGCACATACAGTATAGTTTAAGTGCATCAGATTCAGACATTCCCAATTAGGCATACTGGGACAGATTCTCTGGCCAGTGAACATGGCATAAATTAGGAAGGGAGAATTTACATAAGGGGTTTAGATCACTATCACTTGTCTCCAGTCCTGGCAACACTGGACAGTGCCCCAGCATAGTGATTTCCAGATAGATTATACATAGAAAAAACAAGGCTTTTGTGTACCAAGAACTCGTCAGAATTTGTCGTTTTAAGGATAAACTATTGAAAGTTCCTGCTTCTCAGACCCTAACAGGACAAGGCGTAAGGCAGCTCTGAATTCATCTTGCTGCAAATACCCACTCCAAGAGACATCCCTCAGGTAAATATATCCATCTGAATGTATTCATTTAGTAGTCATAACCAAAGCAAAAATTATCTGATTTCAGGCTCATTTGAAGACTAGAGGATTCATAAAAGGAGCTTATCCATACATTCCTGGAAATGGTGGTAAAGTACCCCAGATTTGTCCCAGGAGATTAAACACGTATGTTCTCACATGCTTTCCCCTATGGCTTTCACACCCTGGACTTGATTTTTGTCTTAAATGTCAAGATTGAGGACATTCCAAATTGCTATTTTGGACAGACTGCATTTAGGCAGTAGTCAGAGACCTTCCAGGACCAAGGCAACAAGATTAACATTCCCAATTCCTTTGCAAGAAATTCGCAGACTCCAAAAAATTCCACAGCCCATTTGCTAATAGCAGTGCTCCACCTGCAGGACAAAGAGTAAAGAATCTGGAGGACCATCATCATTGTATGCTAGTCTCAATCATTAACACCGACTTCAGACAGCCTCTGTTCCCCTGCCACATGCACACATTACATGCACGGGTCTCCTTGGTTTTATAACACCTGGCACTGGATGAAGAGAGAGAACAGATACTCAAGCATTAGTAGTAGAAAGATAATGGCTGCCAGAGACAGGAGGAAATAAAGAATGCATCAAAGCCTATGTTGATAATGCATTACATTGCCAAGAAGACCTTTCCAATAAGCTTCTGTTGAAGCTGACAAATCCCTCTCCTCTGGAATAAAATGCTTCATCAAACCTGAGTGCCTGTAAGACACATTAGAGCCATGGACCAAGCACTACAAAGAACTAATCATTCCATGTTGTAGAGGTCTTGTATATTTGGGAAGCCCACTTAAAAACAGCAGTCACAAATACCTTCACTCTTCAATAAGTTCTGGACACCATAATGGAGTTACATTTAAAGTAGGGACATAAATTCATGGGAGAAGTAGAATATATGGTGGCTCCTTTAATTTTGTATGTTCCCCCATGTGCACCTTGCCCCTAGCTCCCCCCTCCCCTCCTGGCCACAGAAGTCCCTGCCACTTCCTCCTGATCAGCAGGGAAGCTAAAACCATGGTTTTAAACATGGTGTCATTTTTGCCTCCCCGCCAGTCAGAAACAAACAGCTGGGCTATCTGGGGCCCCTCAGCCAATAAGTGATGGGAGTCATAAAGGCACCATGTTTAAAAACCACAGTTTTTGCCTCCCCACTGATGAGAAGCGAGCTGCAAGTGGGGCTCCTCCACCAATGAGAGAGAGAGAGAGAGAGTGGGGGGGGGGAGGGTGCATGGGAAACTGCAGCATTAAAGGAGCCACAATGCACCCCACATATGCCATGAATTTGATAGTTCCCTAATTTCAAGACTTCTAAATTTGATCTGCACCTTTTCTTGCTTATGTAGGGGGGTTGTAAACACAACCAGTACTCCTACTGCTTGAAACAGCCAATACATCATTCAGACAAGGACTCTTTTACCTTTTAAATAGGCAATAGTGCAGCCAACCAACAAAGAAATGCACCTTCAGTATTAATCAGTGCAAAACTACTCACAAATCAAGCCTTCCTCTCCATTTCAAAGCAATCTCCCCAAGGTAGACAAAGACCAAAATTGAAATAATCAAATTTAAGTTTCTACTTCAAAGAAAGGACAGGCTGGATTTGGTCTGGGAAATAAGACTGAAACCACTTCAGTGGTACAGATGGATGATCCGATATAAAGCAGACCAGTCCTCATCTGCCTGGACCTCTTCATAGCATTTGACACTGTTGATGAAGAGACAGCTGTTTCCTGAAAGACTTGGGCCAGGGATTCAGGACAATTAATTAGAATGATACAAGTCCTTCTTGAAGAGGTACATTATACTGATGACAAAGGAAGAATTTAATTTAAAATAGATTAGAGAACAAATATCACTAATAATGAACTCATTTGGATATTCCATGATATGATAGCCAACAGGTTTCTCCTCCAAACACTCACTGAATTGAGAAGATGGAAGCTCCGCCCTCCCCTCCACTTTTTTTTTTTTTGAACAAGTGAGGATATCACTTGAGCTGGTCACAAAAATACTCTTGGATCATGCATAACTATGAGCTGATTCAGTTCTCATTAAATGGAAGGATAAACAAGAATAGGTATGTAATTAAGATTTAAAATTTTAAAAGAGCAACATCTAAAGAAATTAAGGAAAATAATTAATGAAGGACTCAACTGAAGTGCTCAAAGGCTTGAGCACAAAAGATATTTTCTTTCAAGAAAACGTCTTTAAATGAAAAGTAAACACTCTATCTGGAGATTTTATCTGGAAAAATCCAGAAGAAAGAGCTACAGTGGTAACTGGATTAATAACAACCTCAAAGAGGATTTTAGGAAAGAGGAGAAAGAACTGTTCAGCAATGAAATTCTTCTAAAAGGAGAAAAGAACTGATCAGCAATGAAATCTAAGTTTTAACAATCATGAAGTATAGAAAGAAAATGAAAATTGCCAAATGTCAGACTAAATTAGACCTTGCAAAAGGTACTAAAAACAAGTAGCACAGTTTTTCAGCCATTTGAATCAAAAAAAAGGAGTGGGAGTGAAGAAAAAAGATGAGGAGTTGAAGGTCCAAATGCTGCAAAGATGATGTAGAGATTAAAAAAAAAAAAAAAAGAAGAAAAAATCAGGTCAGACCCAAGAACTAAATGAACATTTCACCTGGGGTTTCAGCAGACAACTGATATCTTGATGGAAATTTGAGAGAGTTAATGGGGATGAGGGTTTGGAAATGAAAAATAACTACAACTCAGCTGGATGCAAAAAAAATGAGCAAAAGGGAGGAGGAGGAGGAGGAAAGAAAAAAAACCCCACACATGCCATCAGAGGTCAGATTGTTTAATGCAAAACTGGTACGTGTCAAGATACTCTAGTGTCAAATAAGAACCTATTAGATGTATAACTAGTAATATACTTACCTCAAGAACACATAGAAGCTCATCCACATATGCTCGTTCTGTTTCAATAAGTTCATTAATTACATGCCTGCAAACAAAATCAAGGAGAATTCGTTTATTTCCTTAGACTAATAAAATAAAATGCCAGCTATGAACGCTACATAATTTCCATCAAAATTATATGTAATCTAGCATTTAAATATATATTTATGGTAAAAATTTTGGCCTGAGATGGAAAGCCAGGGGGAACTATGATATTTGCACACAATTCAAATATTGCAAGTACTGTCACAAACTGAGTCTTTGGATTATTATTCTTTTTTTAAGCCCCACTCATTCTAAATCTGGGTTATGTTGTGTCTGGAAATACTACAGGAGCTGGAATTGGACAAAACTTTGTGCGCAAAGAAATACAGATTTTTATTGTTGGTCAATTTATACTCAAATCATCTTGTATTTTATGGCATATGAAAAAATGAATGTATCCCTGCCTGTATTTATTAGATTTTCTCCCCAAAATAATCAAGCAAGCAATATATTTTATGATTTTGAATGGCTTCCTTGCATATTCATGAACACATGGACTAAATGCCAATGCTTAGCTTAGCTATAGTATAGCTTTTTTTTTTTGAATAGGTGAGGTAGGACACTTGACTCTGCAAGCTCTTCTGTAACAATTCTAGATTTGTATCAAGCTAATTTTGTAACATATAATGGGGCAGACAGAAGTAATTAATTCAAATAAAAGCTTAAAAAGCCTTATGTCAGAAATATGAATTATGAAGATGAAAGTATTATTGGTTTATTTAAGACTTGAATAAACATCTGAAACATAATTTTACATTAGTGTGCTTATAATGGAACATCAGCCTCAATGAAGTGAAGCTAAACTATATGGTACAAGCAAAATTCACATAAACCTGAAGATTAAAAAGGGGGGAAAATCTTCCATTGTATATGACAGAATACAACTCATTTATTTCCAGAAGCTCATGAAACTTCAGATTCTTATCTGACCCTTAACCAAACATAGTAGTAGATTGTGTTCAACTCAAATATAGTTGTTTGCCAAGCTGTACCCACCTCCGTAACACAGCTAGGTTTTCTTCATCATCCATCACTGATCCACTTCTGCTTTGTTGCATTTCACTCATTTCACTCTGGAACAAAAAATGAAAAAAAAAAGTGTTGGAGGAAAAAACAGGAAGATGTACACACACTGATATTGTAACTAGTTTCATACACAAGCACAACTGAGATTTGGCTAAAAATGAAGGAAACATAGGAGGCAAATTCAAGAGCAACTGAACAAAAGGTTATACAAAGGTCTTGGGGGACATCACACCACAGGTGTAAATAGATATAGGGGCGAGACAACAGCTTGAAAAAGCTGTGGTCTAGTCCTCCTTCTCAGAGGAAAGACCTCAGGGCAATGGCATGACCCTGAAGGACATAAAACTGTTTAACCAAGACTCTGGTTGGCCTCAACCAGAAAACATTTTGGCCTCAACCAGAAAACTCAAAGAAATAGGGTAACTTCACACAGTCAGATGACTAGGAGGACATGAAATAATCAAAAACAAAATTACTTTTGTTCTTCGGTAGTTCGTTCTTGGAATCATATTACTTTCTGGGCTGGTTACATAGTCTCTTCGAAGACCTAGTATAGATGACAGAATCAACATCTGTAAAAACTGAAATAGATTTAAAATGGATTATTTGTTCAGCCACAGATGAAAGCTCGAGTTCTTTTCAAGTTCATCTGCATAAAGTAGGACTCTAATTTCAGGGATACAGTATTACAGCTGTCAGATCTTGAAGAGGCTTGTGATGTTGGAACGGCTCTTTATGATGTACAACACTTTATATATAGAACTATTTATGGTAAACAGGTAACAGCCTTAATACTGTTCTTGTGAAGGTCTTGTGGCTAGCTTTGTGCCGATTGTGTCACTGGGAAGTTCTTACTCGAATTTCCTCGTGAGATGACAATTCCTGGAAACTCTGGGTTTCCAGAAGGACTTTGTCACAACAGGTACTTACCTGGCGAGGTACA